TCTTGTGCATAAAGATCAATCAGGGTTTATAACAGGAAGGTATATGAAAAACAATGTTAGACAAATTATTAATCTATTAGAATACTTAGATAAGAACAACCAAGTTCCTGCAGGGCTCATATTTTTAGATGCTGAAAAAGCATTTGACCAACTGAATTGGCATTTTATGCTAAGAGTAATGGAAGAAATGAATTTTGGTGAAAACATATTACAAGCCCTTAAGGTAATATATCAAAAACAAACAGCACAACTTATTGTTAATGGAGGTTTGTCGGAGGTTTTCACAATAGAGAAAGGTACTAGACAGGGGTGTCCTTTATCGCCATTGTTGTTTGTTTTAACATTGGAAATATTATTGATTAAAATTCGAGAGTCTCAGGAAATTAAAGGAATATATGTTAATAAAAAAGAATATAAGTTGAGAGCTTTTGCGGATGACTTGGTTGTTACTTTGTCGCAACCTGATTATTCTGTAGTAAACTTATTACAGTTGATTCACCATTATGGTTTGGTCTCGGGTTTTAAGATTAATGTAAATAAGACTAAAATTTTACCTAAAAATTTGTCGAGTCAGGAGAAGCAGATTTTGGTTAACTCGACGGGTTTTGAGATTGTTAATAAGGTAAAATATTTGGGGGTGATGCTGTCTGTTTCTAATGCAAAACTATTTAAAAATAATTATGAAAGGTTGTGGGTCGGGGTACAGAAAGACTTGAAGAATTGGGAAAAGCTGCAATTATCCCTCATGGGAAGAATTGCAGTGATAAAAATGAATATTCTACCCAAGTTTCTTTTTTTGTTTCAAATGTTACCAATTTTGAAAAATGAGATTAATTTAAATGAGTGGCAGAAGGGTCTCAATAAATTTATTTGGGCAGGGAAAAAACCAAGGGTTAAGTTCAAAATTATGCAAGACTTCCGTGAGAGGGGCGGACTCAAGGTACCAAATTTGAAATTATATTATGATGCGGTGGTTTTAACATTAATTAGTGACTGGGTAAATTTGACAAATTCTGAGATACTTTATCTAGAGGGATGGGATTTACTTTATGGGTGGCATGCCTATTTAATATTTAATAAAAAAATAGATTGGGCTTTTAAATCTCATATTTTAAGAATTTCTTTACTTAGGATTTGGAGAAAATATTATAAAAGTGATTTTAAAGTACCATTATGGGCTATACCTTGGCATGCGATAGAAGGAATAAAAAGAGGGGTTAAAATGGATATGGTGTCTTACAGACAGTTACTTAAATGGGATGGACAAAACTGGCAATTAAAATCACGGGAAGAATTAGCACAAGAAAATTTTACTTATTCTTGGTTCCAATATAGGCAACTACTAGATAGATGGAAGATGGATTGTAAGGTGGGTTTTCTTAGAGAAGATGAAAATCTTATTAAGCAACTGAAGGATCAAAGACAAACCCACATTAAGAGAATTTATGGGGTTTTAGTTGAATTGGACTCAGAAACGGAACTAATTAAAGATTGTATGATTAGATGGGCGCAGAACTTTGGTGAGCCAGTTTCATTGGACACCTGGGAAACTATTTGGGTGAGAAATGTCAAATTTACTCAAGCACAGAATCTAAGGGAGAATTTTTATAAAATGTTTTATAGATGGCACCTTGATCCACAAAAAATGTCTTACATGTACCCTGACGTGCAAACCTAAATGTTGGAGATGTGGTTATAAGGAGGCTTCCTATTATCATATTTGGTGGTCATGTAGAGAGATAAAAGCATTTTGGATCAAAATATGGTGGAATATCCAGAGAATTTTTAGAAGGAGGGTAAAATTTACTCCGCAATTATTTTTGTTAGGTATTGTTACAGATTGTGATACAAAGGAGGTTGTATTGATGTTAAACTTGATCACAGCCGCGAGGCTGTTAATTGGACAATATTGGAAGAAGGAATCTTTGCCTACATTGCAGGAATGGTTTTTTAAAGTAGCTTATCTGGCAGAAATGGCAAAGATTTCGGCTTTCTTAAAGCAACAAACGCAAGAGAAGTTTTTTGCTATCTGGGACAAATGGATAAAATTTATACAATTTAGATTGGGTATACAAAAATATTATATAGCTTTTTCATAAGTTTTATTTTTATATATATTATAGATATCTTTTTTATATATATAAATATAAAGTTTTTAATTTAATTTTTATTTTTTTTATTTTTTTTTTTTTATTATTTCTTAAGCCTATATTCTGCTCTGGGAAGCTCAGGGGGGGGGAAGGGAGGGTTTTTGGGAGGGGTGTGGGGTGGGGGGTTTTTTTTATATGTATTGTTTAATTTTTTTTTTCTTTTGTATATGTTGTTTTTTGTTCTGTATTGTTCTTGTTTTTTTTTTGTAAAATTTATAAAACTTTTAATAAAAAAAAAAAAAAAAAAATGGAGCAAAGACTTAGCAACAGTCTTGCTTAGCAACAGAAATGTTGAGCTCAATTGTAACTCCAGAACCATAAGTCAAGAACCACCTATACAGTATAGTCTGCTATCTATTCAGATTGCCATTCATAAAATAACCAAGGTAAAACAGAAGTGCCAAATAGAATAAATAATACTTAATTTAAAAGTTACATTAATTATCACAATAATGCTGTCCAATAAGCGCTTAAATGACAAAAGATATGATTAGCCTTGAACCCAGAGAAGAGTACTCCAAAGCAGAGTTGCTAGTGCAGGAAAGGCTTTTCAAAGTATCTTCATATAATTATGGGATGCTGAGGATGGTCCCCTTATAGATCTTAACCTTCAGGCATGTACGTTGTTTAGATGTCGGGATCCTAACCCGTTAAAGATTTCAATTTGCAACTCTAGCCACGAACCCTGAAACACTTAAGTCAGTATTCTTTATTATAGATGGACAAATTGATGACAAAGAAGGAATAGCCTCTATAAAGCTTGACATTGAATGTACAACTATAATAGCATTTCCTGCTAATAGTTCTGGGCAGTTTGATCAGTATACTAGAAGTTTAGGTCATGCTTTATGACCTAAACACAATGTTTTCTGATTCCAATTTGGGCATTTAGCTTACACTGACAGTTGTAATGCCTCATCATCCCTATTTGTGACCTTCCCTACCGGTTTTCCCCAAGCCAGGTCAATGGGGACACTGGCAGGGAAGGTCACAAATTGTTCTGGTAAGTCCCCAGCTTCCCTTCCTTTACCTGGCATGGTGTCCTGCTTACCTTGGCTTTTCTTTGCTCAATCACACAGCATGGCAGCATGCTTCCCCCAGCCTCTCTATGGTCATGTATTGTTTACTCCCACCCCATGGCACCCCCATGCTCCTTACCTGGGATTCCTTATGCTTCCTACTTAGCAAACCATATGTCCTAAATTACAACAGCAACTGAGACTGCTGGAATTTTTGCTAAGTGATACAGACACATGATGTCATGCTTTATGACTGCATGCCTAGCAACTACAAATCCAGTTTCAATTGCTATCATAATCCGAGGACTACCCATATATGCAGTATACTAGCACATACTCAGAGTGAATGTACTGCAGAACAATTGTCTATAACAGCCAATATTGGGGAAGAACTACCCATGGGTTTGCTTGGACTGGACTTCAAAATCTTTTCCTGTTTTTTTATTTTGTGTAGCTGGGATGAACACCCAGTGTCTAACTTCTGCTTTCCCCAAATAATGTACATAATAATTGTTCTTCATCATACATACATAGATACATGTCAGATTTCTTGGAGTGTATTAGTCCATTGTACTTGAGGAAGAGGCCATTGTACTTGAGTCTAATAGTGCAAATATACTTTTGTGTGTGGCAGGTGCTTTACTATAATCTAGACCAAGGGTAGGCAACCTTGGCTTTTTTATGACTGGCTCAGGAATTCTGGGAGTTGAAGTCCACGAGTCATAAAAGAGCCAAGGTTGCCTAGACCTGATCTAGAACCAGAAAAGTAGTAAACCAGGAGAATTTAATATTTTAGGTGAATAAGTTTAATATAAAGGTTGAGTGCTGTTTTGACTGTTCCTCCCCAAAATTTGGCAAAGGGTAGACATTTTAGTCACCATTATCAAATAAGTTAGCTAGATTGCATATAACAGATTCTCTATGTTAATCCATTTACCATTTGAAATGCTACATCTAATATAAGTACTGTCAATAACATAGTCATTTTTATGGCTTAAATAATTAAGTTAATTGCTCTTCAAATGTGCCTTTGATTTGTAGAGAGAATAGAAAAGGCTGAGCTACCCTCCCCTTCGGAGTATTAGTGAATATACATTTTGAAGAGCAGAAATAATGTTGCTCATGTTTTCTTTCTTTTTTTTATTACTTTAAGATAATAGTGGCTGCTGCAGAATCCAGGCTAATTTAATGAGCAATCAGATCAATAATTTTGGCAACTCCTATATACAACTGTTTTAAAGATACAAATTTGGGAATAAATGCCATTGAACAAACCAAGGTTATTTCTAAATAAATGTTCATCTGATTAACTATTAAGGTCTGCCCATAAAAGACATTTCGATAATAGCTCACTTGCTGTCATTTTTTGTGTTCTAGACTGACAGTTACTGATTTTTTACCTTCTTGCTCAAATGGATTATAATTTATAAACAAAGGATTACCAGAACCCTACAAAGGAAACTGGCATTTCCCTAGGATTGTTGATCAGGGAATGCTGGCAAGTAAATGCCGGCGTATAAGGCGACTTCCGCGAGCGCTGAAATCAGCGCCAAAGACGGTCGTCTTATACGCCAAGTCGTCTTATATGCCGGAAATACTGGTAGTTTCCGGCATATAAGACGACGTTCTAGGAATGCGGCCCGGCGATAAAGACGGGGGTCGTCTTATACGCTGGGTCGCCTTGTACGCCGGCATATATGGTACTCTTTTTTTTAACTAGGATATATTTCTGGGTTTATTTTGAAAAAATTGGATAAGTTGATCTTTTAACTTACTGTTTCTATAATATTAAATCTGTTTCTGCTTTGTTTTTGTTTAAACAATTTGCCAGGTATTGGGCCTTATACAGAACATGAGCGTTTTTCAATGTCCAAAATGCAAACATGAAACACATATTTTTGGAGCTGATGGTGTGAAGAAATTAGCCAAGACTATTGGTATAGATGTTTTAGGTAAGAATATGTGGTTTAAAATAAAACCTGTATTAGACAAAACAGGATGCAATATAATTTTTCATTAGTATGTATTGATTTTAATGAAACTAAATATGAATTGTAGAAACCTGGATTGTGCTGCTGCATTGTGTTTATTGCTGCTACTCTAATATATGGAATATTCATATCCATTATGACTATAAATAGTGAAAGAATAAGTGGTCATTAAATGAGAACTACCCATCATTACATTGTTTCATTCAGATTGGAACTTAGAAGCTGGTAAAATAAAGGCATAAAATACTTTCAGAGAAATATTGAGGGCTGACAGATCTGGTGGATACCAAATCTATCTGTTTGGTGAGTTAAGCTGTCTTCTGGAAGAGTACTAAAGATTCCTTGTTTGAAAGCTATTTTGTGTTTTACTGCCAGCATAAACCATTTCCCATATTAGAGGAAGTTCCTTATTTACTTCACAAACAAGTATCCATTTATATCTGAAAGCAAATAATGACAAGGAGTGACCTGTGCTAAGTGTACAATCGAGATTCTGCTGTAAGATTTATAGCATATATAGCAGCTGTCCCCCAACCTTTTGGTTGCCAGGGTCTGGTTCCGTGGAGGGCAGTTTTTCCATGGGGGGGGGAGGAGTGGTGTTAAACGCTGCCCGAATCCGCATGTGTGCTGATAGGGCTTTGCTCATTTGCGCAACCTAGTTCATGGTAGGTTGCAGACCAGTACCAGTCTGCAGCCCGCAGGTTGGGAAGCCTGTTATATAGAATGCTATAAGACAGGAGTGTCATACTGCCGGCCTGTGAGCCGGACGTGTCACCAGGAAACTGTACCCACTCCATTGCCAGCAATGGAGAAAAAGCTCCAATACGTCGCTTGATGTCATGTGACATTGCAAGTTTGACATATCTGCTATAAGACAAGAGACAAAAAATTATAAGCACTTCCAACATCCAACCATTTTAATCTGTCTAGCTGTAGTAGAAGGAGTATTTTCAAAACTGTTTGACCTTGTTACCAGTTCTTGTCATCATTTTAGTAAATCATTCGTTGAGAAACTGACAGGTGTTTTATTTTAACCTAAAATTGACTTAACCTCCTCTACTATGTTGCTTATTTGTAATAGCAGCACCAGAAGATTGCTGGCCATGCCATTACAAATGCAGCATCCTAGACCTAATTTCCTTGCCCACTCATTAGAACAAATTATTTATAGAAACTTTTATCTTTAAAAAATTTTCTTCAGCTGAGTTGGGAATGATACCTCTTTTTTGTGCTTCTCAGTTTAGGTGTAGCTTTGATTTTACAATCTGTTTTTGCATGATGATATTATTTAAATCTAAAAAGTTAATCTTCTACAAAGAATTTTTAAAACAAAACAATTCTGAGTATTATGCAGTTTTTCTTTATTTCTGTGGCAATATTTCTATGCCTACTGAGTAGAAAAATTCAATATACAGTTAACAGTTGGGAGGAAAAATTAATTAAATATCTAACTAGCACTTAAATCAGTAGTTGTCTGATAACAATAACACTTTCATTTTGGTGATTAAATATTTAAGCATCTGTTTGAATATGGATTAGAATGTTATACTACTGGAAATCAGTAGGGAACGAGTTGCAGTGCTGAAGAAATAATGTGTTGTGTGAAGAAGTTGTATACTGGAACATTTTACTGTGGATTTATTTTTGTGTGCATTACAAAAAATAACATCTGCTCAGTAGGGAGTTGGACTTGATTTTTACATAGCAAACCGCCAAATACATGTACAGTAACTGTGTAACTGTAAGAGGGATCTAGGAGTCCTAGTGGACAATCACTTAAATATGCGCCAGCAGTGTGCTGCAGCTGCCAAAAAAGCCAACACAGTGCTAGGCTGCATTAACAGAGAGATAAAATCAAGATCATGTGAAGTGTTAATATCACTTTATAACAAGGGTGTTATAAAGTGGTATTAACACTTCACGTGATCTTGATTTTATCTCTCTTGGAATATTGCATCCAGTTTGGTCACCACGATGTAAAAAATATGTTGAGACTCTAGAAAGAGTACAGAGAAGAGCAACAAAGATGATTAGAGGACTGGAGGCTAAAACATATAAAGAACAGTTGCTGGAATCTGTCTAGTTTAATGAAGAAAAGGACTAGGGTGACATGATAGCAGTGTTCCAATATCTCAGGGGTTGCCACAAAAAGAGGGAGTCGAGCTATTCTCCAAAGCACCTGAAGGCAGGACAAGAAGCAATGGATGGAAACTAACCAAAGAGAGAAGCAACCTAGAACTAAGGAGAAATTTCTGGAGTTAGAACAATTAATCATTGGAACAACCTGCCTCCAGAAGTTGTGAATGTTCCAACACTAGAAGTTTTTAAGAAGAGATTTGACAGCCATTTGTCTGAAATGATATAAGATTTCCTGCCTGAGCAGGGGGTTGGATTAGAAGACCTCCAAGGTCCCTTCCAACTCTATTACTATTATTATTATTAATTATTATTATTATTGCAGTACGGATTTCTTCTGAAAAGCAAAATAGAGATTATTGAGTTGAAAAGAAATTTGTCTCAGTGGTGCATGCAGATCTGGCATGTTTTCTTTATTATCATCCTAAATAGGTCATATCTGTCTTCATCCTCTCCCACCATCTCAGTATTAGACAATTTTAGCAGATAAGAGAAACTGAACATCACTTTGCAGTCATCTTTAGAAACAATCTTTTTAAAATTATCTCAATAATCCAAAACTTTGACAAGGCTTGACTAATTCTCAATTTTAATACTTCTGAAATATGACACCAGGTGTATTACTTGAACTATTTCAATTAAAAACATTTGTATAACATTTAACCTTTGTGCCAATTTTCTGATATTTAATATAGGTGACATTCCACTACATGTCCACATAAGAGAAACATCTGATTCTGGCAAACCTATTGTCATTTCACAGCCCCAGAGCAATGTGGTGAGTTTAATATAATCAATTTTTTAAATGTAGACATTGTTTGATTAGAAGCTGTTATTTTTGTGCTAAAAGGATTTCAATAGAACTAACTTATTAGTCTCCACTTCTTTCATAATGACTCTTTAGCCATAATTTCAGCAGGCAATACTAGGCAATAGTTAAGATTTTTGCATAGAAAGGAAAGCAATAGAAAGTGATGTTTTGAGTAATAAAACATTGACTATTTTTTCCAGCTTATTTTTGAACAATTTTATGGGTAGAAGTGTCTGACCTTACTTAGCAATACTGTATTTACCTGACAGGAAAACAGACTCCTCCCTCCCCAAATAATTGCCTGAAAACATGGACCCATCATTCACTGAAAAGAGTTATAGAAGAAGATTCTAGTGAAAGGGAATAAATAAAAGTGCAAATAATGAAAGAGCCTCAACCAGAGTGAAAAAAGGAGGAAATTTGCTGCCCTTGCTCAAGTCTTCCTCTTGTAGTTCTCTTGATATATAGTAGATGGTGAATATTGACAGTAAAAACTCATTCCAAGGAGAATTTACATAGAGCCATTACAGATACTCATCAATCATCCATGAAAGAGGCTGGCCCATTCACTAAACAGCTCTGCAAATCATAAGTATACTCACCTGAAAATAAGAGTCTCTGAACTCAGTAAGACTTACCGTAGAATAAGGTTGCATGAATCTCACTTGTGCTTGCATTTCAGTATAAAGCTTTCCACTGTTCTGTCTTGTTTTTACAAATGTAACAAAAAAACCCAAATCCATTACCTCCAGGTTCTTTTGCCCAGTTTGCATCCATGATAAAGGATGTAAACTGACCTAAACAAATCCATCTGTAGCATGGCAACAGTGTATAAATATTTCCCTAGGAGTGAGGGTCACTGAATGTACTCGGTGCTTTTGATGAACTGAGCTTCAGCGTATAAAAGTTTAGGAAAGTTTGTGCCTTTTAATAAAATCTGTTAATGTGAAAAGGTGCTACCAAAGTCTCCTGATAGTTGAATTCAGTAGGATTCCCTACTGAGTTGTGTTTCCTGATCCCAGATTTTTGCAGTCTCTCTTTGTGTAAATCTAGAGCACGGGTGTCAAGGTTGATCATGTCGTGTGATGTATTGTGATGTATCGCGACATTTTTTGCCTTTGTGGAGCCAGGGTGGGCATAGTCTGTGCGTGACACATCTGGCCCACCAGCCGCCAGTTTGACACCCTTGATCTAGAGTGTTCAGGTTTGTCTGCATGTTTACAGAAATGTAGGTACTCCTCAATTTATGGCTGTTCATTTAACAATGGCCCAGAGTTATGGCAGCCTTGGAAAAAACTGTAATTACACTTATGACTGCCACAGCACCCTGTTGGTCATGTGATAGCAATTCAGGTGCATTTATGACCAGTTTCAATGTCCGCAGTCATATGATCATGATCGTTTTTTACAACTTCTGGCAAAAAATGGGATAGCTAAATTCATTTAACAACTATGTGATTAGCTTAATGATCACAGTGATTCATTTAACAACTGCTGTAAAAATCATCATAAAATTGGTATTGACTTGACCTATGACAGCAATGTCTTAGGATGGAAATTCTGGCCATAATTTGAGGACTACCTATGGTTACATGTCATTTCTATCCTGGTTCTAATATATGAAGATATTCTATCACTACACTTTTTTAATTCTGAGAATTCAGTGTAAAATTCATCTTAATTCATCAGATTAAGAATTTATATCTTAATTTTTGCCATGCTGCCATGATATATATATATTTGATTTTCAAATCAACGTTGCATTAGTTTTTTTGCAATTACTCCAGAATAGAAATTGTAGCATACAAAGCAGCTAAGAATTAGAAGTTGTGCTAGGATTTTGACCCTAAAGATCTGTAAAACTACAAAAGACCAAACCTCTGTAGTCAGTAGATCTTTTGGTCCATCTATTGATTTATGAGAATATTTCTCCTTCTGTTTGTCCTATATTTAAGAGTTTGGCCTTCAAATGATTGGTCAGCAGATTAATCAGCAAATGATTAATGTTAAACTGTCAACTTTTTTATTTGCTAGGAGAAATGGATCCTTGCTTTGCAGAAATGTGACCTGTAGTAATTCCCTTAGAAATTCCAAAGCAAAAGAGAAGGGAGAAATATTTCTAGTGAACATAAGCTATATGCATATGAAGACATAAATGTGAAGGATAAATGTGAGCTGTACATTTCTCCTTTCAATTTTTCATGTTGTGCTTCCTCTTATTTTTTCGTAATGATGGCATGCATGACAGTAGAATACAGTTTTATTAAACGGTCCATAGTTAAAATGCATGCATACTACATACATACATAATATTCATGATGCTATTCCTTTTCAGGGTAAGCAGTGTGTCACAGAGTGCATAAAATGTATAAGAAATATTAAGCCAAAGAAATTAAAGGCCTGAGATAAGAGAAAGAAAGATGGCTAAAACTAGGATAGTCTTCTCTAGACAGGGTCAATCTATGCAAATTATTTATCTTGAGAGAAAGTATTACTAATCCCACATTTATGCAAAATACATATCACTGGGCTGATTTTCTAGGGCATGCCTACACTTTAACACTAGCACAGGGGTGTCAAACTGCCATCCCGTGGACCAGTTTCATCATACCGAAGCCGCGCCCCACCCCATTGCTGCCAATGCAAAAAAAGTCACAATATGTCGCAACACATCACGTGATGTGGCAAGTTTGACACCTGTGCACTAGTGGTTATATACCACCTCACAGTGTTTTGCAGTTCTCTAAGCTGTTTACAGAGTCCGCATATTGCCCTCAACAATCTGGGTCCTCATTTCACCAGCCTCGGAAGGATGGAAGGCTGAGTCAACCTTGAGCCGGTCAGGATCAAACTGCTGGCAATCAGTAGAATTAGCCTGCAATACTGCATTCTAACCATTGCAACACCACTTTGCTTCCTGTTTGAAGTGAAATTGACTTCTATGATCTAGGCCTTTCTAAAAATGATTCAAAACAGCATTGCTCCAGAAGGCCTATAGTGAGGCCTAACACCTGGAATGATTGTAACTATGGTTTGATGATGAAATATTTTATTTTTATATCTTGATTGTAAACAAGCAACATTAACCCTAGACAGACAGACAGACAGACAGATAAATACAATGCCCACATTATTTAATATACTACTTTCCAATATTCTGCCCTTACAAATGGTGCTTGCTTGCACCACATCTATTTACCTTCATGCATCATCTTTTGTTCTTTAAACTTTTTACCTCTGTTTTTGACAATGTCACCAACTCCACCCAAACACAACTTTCTCAATCTTCCCCTTCCTCTGAACTCATTCACTCTTTCTTTGCAAATTCACCAATGCAGTCCTCATTCAATCTTTCCACTTAGCCAAAACACCTCAGTATGCTTATATTATGACTTATTCTTTTATTTTATCACATGCACTCTTTAAATATCACATAATTTTTTAGGGGCAGAGTGGTGTCTTAGCATCCAAAAGGATGCATTAAAGACTCATTTTGTTTATCAAATTCCTCCAAACTCTTTATGTGCAAAATTGCGAAGCTTTTATATAATATGAATAAGACTCTGGCCTAGGTTTTCCCCCTGCTCAGGAACTCATATAACCAGTTTATGCTGATGAGCAACAGCCAAACATTTTTAGATCATGAATTCAAGAAGTCTGACACTCCAGATGTCTTTTTGACATTCCTGACATACAGCATCTTGGCCTCAAATAGCAATTTGTTTGACTCTTGTGCTAGTTTCAATAGCAATAAATATATTCTTTTTTATGGGTTCAGTGGGAGATTTTTACTCAGTTTCCTTTTGCTGAACTCTTACCTTCTTCAGAGCTTTACCTCTTTCATCTACCTTCACTCCTTACTCATTTCTGCCTTACTTAGACATAATTTTCTTTCACACCATAGTACTTTACCCCATGTCAACCATTTAGGTCCTTTCCCACTCATCATAGCACATCCATTTTTTCTGTTTAGGGGTCCTTTTTTGCCAATAATACTATCTAAGTGTGGTAGAGAAAGAACTCAGCACACTGTACCTGGGCATCTGCAATATCTCTGTTGTTGCCTGTAAACTCCTCAAATTAAATATCATCATCATAATAATTTTAGCCATTGTCTATCCACCGTAAGAAGAAGGCCTCTTCCGTATGTTTTCAACCAATACGGTCCTGAGTTTTCTTTTGCCAGTTGGGCCTGCAATACTTGCTGATGTCATTGATCCATAAATTAAATATAAATTTAATTAATTTAATTTTTGTAAGTGCCTGAAGTCAACTGAATGTGAATGGGCGACCATATAAATTCTCTAAATAAATACATTCATGCTAAAAATGTCCAACTTTTTATTAGCTTTTCAGCTTTTATAAGATTTGAGCTTTCTTGCATGCTCTGGTGTTCTTATGTAAGAATTTGTGGGTGATATTGCTGACATTTCTCATTAAGGACAATATTGCAAGATTTCAGTCATTTTTAAAGAATTGTAAAGGATTTCTGAGAAATGAGGAAGAGTTCTGACTATCTAATAAAAAAATCTCCCTATTCCATAAATACAGTCTAAAATTTTACATCATTCCATTGGCATCCTTCAGTCTCTAGAGACTATGGTATCGTGCTCTGGAAAGAGGTCCTAAGGCAGCATCTTGTGTGGCTAAAAAGGCCAATTCGAGAATGGCAGTCCCTTCCACACTGAGGGCAGATATAATCTGTCCCCTGTCCAGCCCCCAGATTTCGCTGGTTCTGGGACTGCCTCTTTGCCTCAGCCTGCCGCACAAGTGTCTCTTCAAATTGGAGAAGGCCATGCTGCGTCTTTAGCCTTCAGGCTGAACGATCAGAGGTCAAGAATTCCCAGCTGTTAATGTCCATTCCCAAGGCCTTTAGATCCCTCTTGCAGATATCCTTATATCACAGCTCAGGTCTCCCTCTGTGGCGCTTTCTCTGCACTAGTTCTCCATACAGAAGATTTTTCGGAATTTGACCATCAGCCATTCTCATGACATGCCCAAGCCAGCGTAGACATCGCTGTTTCAATAGTGTATAAATGCTAGAGATTCCAGCATATTCCATGACTGCGCTATTTGGGACTTTGTCATGCCAGGTGATGCCGAGAATACGTCGAAGACAGCGCATATGAAAAGTGTTCAGCTTTCTCTCTTGCCATATGTGAAGAGTCCAAGACTCACTGCAGTACAAGAGTGTGCTGAAGACGCAGGCTCTATAGATCTGGATCTTTGTATGTTCTGTCAACTTCTTATTAAGCCATACTCTCTTTATAAATACAGACTAAAATTTTACATCATAATTACTACATTATTTGTCAATGTTTTGCTATTGGCCACTTTTTAGGTATAATTAGTATAGTTAATCACCCTATAACAGCAGTCAGGTGGTAGTGGGCAATTTGTATTGTTTCATAAGAAATATTTTATATTCCATTCTAATCTAAGATATTAATACGATGAATTTGTAAATATTTTGCAGGCTCAAGCCTATTTGAAGATTGCTGCTGAAATAGTGAAAAGACTGTCACTTTTACCAATTTGAAGTCATCATTTTGAAGGGCTGCACTTCGAATTTTATGATTGAGATGTGACTTAAAATATAACAAAATAAATAACAAATATTTTATGACTGTTTTATGGAAAGTTTTTCAGTTGCATATTTTAATCTTCATATTTAGCTTCTTTAATTCCAGTAATTTAAAAATAGTGTTCCAGCAAAGAATCTTTTGGTACTTTAAAGACTGAAACTCATTAGAACATAAGATTTCATGGATTACAATTTATTTAATCAGATGCATTGAATATAATCTTGGGAAATGATTACTGTATCAGATGCACGGATTCTAGTCCAGAGAAAGAATTATTACATGCGAGGCAAATGGCCTGTTCAAAAATATGATAAATAAATAAACAAATTACATATACTGTCAGCTAAGATGGGCCTGAAAAATTCATGATGTCTGTAGTCAGATGAATTTTTCCATACATGTATTAGATGCAGCAGTGAATTTACATTTGCAGGATTAAGAGGGCAACTGATCTTGTCAATTTCTCCTTTACTTATGGTGTAACTTGTTCCAGTAAATCTCCTGTTTCACTTTCTGAACGTGATGTTGGGAACTTCAGAGAAAGAGTATAGTCAGTCATCTTGCTTTTCTTTTCTGCTGATAAAGAGTTGGACAACCTTCGACCCTCCTGGTCTTGTGGAACTGGAACTTGCACTGACATACATTTCCCATTGCTTATGCTGGCTACAACTACTAGGATTTTCAGTTCACCAACACTTTGAGAGCCTATACCTGGGCTAGCATAATAGTTCTTCTCAAGGAAGAACAGTTCACAGTTGAACCGATTTATATAAGATCTTCTAACTTTTCCCACTCGTTTAATCAGGTGTGAAGATGTTGTGCCAGTCCCTATCTTTCATTCCAACCTGTCTTACAGAGTTATGGTGAGGATAAAATGAAGGGGGAGCTCCATAATTCAATCTTTTATGTGAATGTTTAAATATAAGTGTAGTAAATTTAAAATAAATAATGGGACGAAAATGTAAATTGATAGTCTGGAGCCAACATAGCAAAAATTTGTTCTATTGTGAAGAGTTATTGTGAAATTGTCAGAAATTATTTTGAGCTATCAAATAATAGGAGATTTAAGGAACTGTCTTTTAACTTTTGTGGATTATCGTGTGTCAGTTGATGCTCGATAAATTGTAATTGTCTAAGCAAATTGTTTTCTTATATCGAGCATGAATAAACTCAACATTCAGTAGCAAGCTCCTCATTAAAATAGAAGCATCAGGTTACTGAAGGAAGAAACGTGTGATAAAAATTAAGTACTGATCACTGAACATATGATTATAGTTTTACAACAGAGTAATAGCCCCAAATGTATAAACAGTACATTTAATTGCCAATTTTTATCCAGCACGTGGATATATACTGTCAGTGCTTTTTTTCTATATAAAAAAAAAAAGGTGCTGGAACTCACACACATCATACAACCTGCCTTGCCTACCCTACAAGGTTCCATCCAAAAAAGGTGCCGGAACTCCATTCTGGGCGTTCTATGAGAAAAAAAGCCCTGTATACTGTGTATTTCATTATTATGTGCAGGTTTATAAACATGAACATACATGTGCATGCAAAAGTTTTACTGACTAAACCACATGCTAGTTCAGGTTACCAATTTTCTTTTATATATGAACTAACAGGAACACAAACCAAAATGCACAAATTCATTGTTAAGTTCATAGTACTATGGTAGTATAGTTTATAGAAGTTGGTTGCTATTTCCTTTTTATTGCTAATTGAGAACTGGCTTACTTTGTACTTTTAAAATTTGGCATTTGTGTTTTATTGGACTGGGTTGTAAATTAAATAAATATACAAGATACACAAATATATAATATTTAACTGAGCAAGATTGTATGAAATTCAGCATTCAAGATTTTATTCTCTAACAAACTTCTATTATTATTTGATATTATGCTTTATGAATTCAAATGATCAGAGCTGTAGTTAATGTGACGAGCTGAATAAATTTTCCTGGGTCTTGGGGTTTTTGTTTGTTTTTTGCTCAGTCCAACATAGTATAAAACTTGGGAAACTTTCATAATAGCCAATTTAAGATTAGATTAAGATTAAGAAGATACCGTTGAAGTCAGGTCCCTCTTTTTTCTAGCTTCCACTGGTATGATATCAGTATTGATGACATTTCAGTGATGACTGAGAAATCCAGCACAAATTCCACTACCTGTACTTCAGATCAATGCCTGTGTATATTTGGAGTTAATTACAGTCTTCTAAAATGGTTCTTTAACATCACAATAGAGTCATATCATGACAGATATGCCATTATCTATTGTATAGACAAATGCTATTGGGGAATTTGGGGGTAAGTTAATGTTAAGTATATAAGGACACTTCTCAGATTCTGCCAAATTCACTTCTCTTGGTGTGTATGTGCTTTAGATAGCATTCAGACTTACTGCTAAGCTGTGGTTTTTAGTCAAAACCTCAGTTAGTAGGCAGCTATTTGGAAAAATGCCGAATCTTATAGTAAAACCAAGGATCACCTAATAAAACTGTTCAGAAGGAGGTTTAGAAGAGACTAAGCTAAGTATTGCTTAGCCATGCATAATTAACCCATGTCATTCATTATCAAAGGATATGATGACAACTATAAAAGGAGTTTGGATAACTCCAGTTTTTCAAAAGCTTTTAACTTTTATACTTAATATTCTCTTTGGGTAAGAGGTTTATACTTCTAAATACTAGTTACAGGGAACAAAAGGGAGAGGGACATGTATCCTTGCAGCCACCAAATAGTTCAACTCAAATGACATTTTACTTTAAACTGTGATTTTTAGGTGAGTTATTGTCTCCATTCTGCTTTTTCTTCTTTTTTTTTTCTGAATGTATTGCAGGACTCATGTACTAATTTCCACAACTCTTGAAAGATGAGCAGGGTGAGAGGGTCTGTTAAACCCTTAATGTCTGTTAATTCTGAATTTATGACACTAGCAACAATAATTACATTGCATATTTTTTATAATTCATGTAAATGAGCTCATTGTAGTTACAGCTCTATTTAAGAGAGAAATATATAATTTTATGTATACAATAGTATAGTAGTCCATACAATGGGAGTAAAGTCCACACAAAAAATTGTTAATTTGAATTTGGATAAACTTTTTCTGTGTTTAGCAATCTTACCACAGTTCAGTAATGATAAACCTCTGCAACATTTTTGTGCCTTTTAATATAATAATCTCAATATTTATGTAGATGTTTCTGAAGATTAGTTGGCTGTTGTCCTGTGGGAGACAGGCTCTCCTACTTTCTATTTTTAATCCTATCCTCAGTAGAGTTTTGCATTTATGCACTTCAAGCAATTAAAAGATTCAGGCTGATTTCCTATGTGTTAATTGCTTGTTTGTTTCCAGGTTATCTTCTCCATTCACCAAATCTTACGCATTTTAATATAATTGCACTGAAAGGATGGATTAATTTTATTACCTCATATGGATTTGTTCATTGTAATAAATCTACAACAGTATAAATGAATAAAGCAATGAATATCATATTGAACTATGTATTTAAAATCAAGTTTGCACTATGTTTTTAAGAGCAAAACAACAAATCTTACATTACTTTTGTAACTGAATAGTTTTGATCAGTGATGTAATGGCATACTGATTAGGTAAGGTGGCTGTTCATAATGTTTATATTAAATGTCATAGGATTGTGCAAATTAAGTCTGTTCTGATTCACATCAGGTCCCCCAAGTTGGATTGATTCAAATTGAATCTGATTCCAAAAGGCAATTTGTTCTGGAGAGAGGAAAAAAAACAGCATTTCTGAACATGTACAAAAAGTTATTCAATTGTCAAACTGATTCAGAGGCAATCAGTCAATTTGACAATGCTTAATGTTTATTTGTTAGATTGATGATAATAATAATAGTAAAGTTGGAAGGGACCTTGGAGGTCATCTAGCCCAACCCCCTGTTCAGGCAGGAAACCCTATACCATTTCAGACAAATGGCTGTCCAGTCTCTTCTTAAAAACCTCCAGTGTTGGAGCATTTACCGCTTCTGGAGGCAGGTTGTCCCACTGGTTAATTGTTCTAACTGTCAGGAAGTTTCTCCTTAGTTCTAGGTTGCTTCTCTCCTTGCTTAGTTTCCACCCATTGCTTCTTGTCCTGCCTTCAGGCGCCTTGGAAAATAACTTGACACCCTCTTCTTTGTGGCAGCTCCTGAGATATTGGAACACTGCTATCATGTCCCCCTTAGTCCTTCTCTTCATTAAACTAGACATACCCAATTCCAGCAACCATTCCTTATATGCTTTAGCCTCCAGTCCCCTAATCATCTTTGTTGCTCTTCTCTGTACTCAACATCTTTTTTACATCGCAGTGACCAAAACTGGATGCAGTATTCCAAGTGTGGCCTTACCAAGGCATTGTAAAGTGGTATTAACACTTCACGTGATCTTGATTCTATCCCTCTGTTAATGCAGCCTAGCACTGTGTTGGCCTTTTTGGCAGCTGCAGCACACTGCTTGCTCATATTTAGGTGATTGTCCACTAGGACTCCGAGGTCCTTCTCACTGTTACTACTATTGAGCAAGGTACCCCCTATACTATACCTGTGCATTTGGTTTTTCTTGCCTAAATGTAGAACCTTATTTTTTCACCATTGAATTTCATTTTGTTAGATAGCGACCAGTGTTCAAGTCTGTCCAGATCCTTCTGTATCTTAAGCCTGTCTTCTGGAGTGTTGGCTATTCCTGCCAGCTTGGTGTCGTCTGAAAATTTGATGAGTTCCCCATCTATCCCCTTGTCCAAATCGTTGATATAAATATTGAAGAGCACTGGGCCCAGAACAGAGCCCTGGGGCACCCCACTACACATTTCCCTCCATGTAGATGCGGTTCCATTGAGGACCACACACTGAGTACGGCCGGTCAGCCAGCTACGGATCCATCTGGTGGTGGTGCTTTCTACCCCACATTTTTCTATCTGGATCTATCTGATCCATGTGAATTGAATGTCTATAATAAATTGTCTATAATAAATCCCAATAAATTGTTTATAAGAGATGTCAAACTTTTAATTCACTAAT